TCCTGAGCATCCTTTTCTATCTGTTTCCATGATGTCCCCGCTTTTTCAATTTCAGCTTGTACCGTTCGCCTCCATGTCATCTTTGGTCTCCCCCTCTATGATACAGCAGTTTGAATTTCAGAATCTTTATGTGGACATGTTTCTATCTCGTCTGATACTCTAAAAATGATTTTTCTCCTGGGTTTGGTCTCGTTGAAAATCCTTGCTTTGGAGACCTGATGTAGAAAAAGGTTTTTTTTATATCAGAGTAGAAATTTATATTGTTGATGCTAATAAACTTTACCGTTGCTATTGTGGCCTACCATAGAAAACTGCATCTCCCCTCGACGCTGAACGGCAACAGAGGATGAAAAAGTAAAGTAAAGTAAAAGTAAAGTATTGTGTGAAAGGTTTTAGCATTGTTGAGATTGTCATCACTCTGCAAGTCTGCTGTATATCAACTTATTGTAAACATTGTTTCTCTTTTTTGCACTCTACAGGGTTTTCGCCAGGGGAGTATGAAAATGTGTGCTGAAGTAAGTAAATTTCCACATTGCACTCTCTCAGCACACTGTGCACTTCTTATTGATTTAATTTATTGCATTCTGAAAGGTGCCTCTGGGAGGCAACATTCCGATACCCTGTTAGTCTCTGGTTTAAGCCACCCTTGCTTTAACTTTTAAACTTACATATCAGACTTTACTCAGCTGCACGACCCACACTGCCCCCCACTCCTTTATATCAGTGATAACTTGTACGTAGTGGAGAACTTGAAGGTTTGGGAGCTACACTCTCATATCACAGGGCACACCATATAAGCCTAAATCACTTTGACTGTGTAGATTTCAAACCGATAGTTTTAGTTTGCCAGTTTTTGCCGCCATTTTTAATTATAATGATGATAATTCTCTTGAGTAGAATAAGGTGGATCACACTTCTTTTGTCATCCTCATGGAAATATAATTTATATTTTTAAAAAATCATAACTTTCAACAATAAAGCTAGATTTAAACTCCCGACATGTCAGTCTATGCTTCTAAAGTCACAATGTTGCCAAGTCTCAGAATACAAAGTTGCAAAAAATGTCTTTGAAGCTTGCAGGACAGCATAGCCTAATCAAGCCAGCATAAACTGAATGTAGCCATATAACTGCTGGTAGTCAAGGCATGGTACTTTTCATGTGAGGGGGAATTGCTTTTTTTTGGGTAAATTTTACTTGAAAAATAAAAGATTGGTTTATTTTGTTGTTTCCACTTCGATAAAAAAAAATGTCTAGTTAGGCCTACATAATTGAGCAATATTGTTCATACTTTTCGATAAGGGGTAAGCTTGAAATTGTGTGTACAGACCTTCTAATTCAGATATACAAAATGTTTTAGTTTCTGTTTAAATGTACTTGTGAAAGAAGATTTCCTGTGATTAATATTGTTCTCAAACCTGTTTTAAATTCATTTGCAGTTTTGTGGGTTATGAGCAGTAAAAAAAGGTATATCATATTAGAGCAAGTTTTAGTAAAAGTTCAACAGATACATTCTCATTTGTGTGCAGGCATATTATGTCTGACCTTCTCCTATTTTTGTTGAGAAGTTCACAATTTACTCAAGTGCTAGTAATGCTCATAGTTTTTGTTTTTTCCTTAACTCATTCAGGTCTCTGGCTGGACAAAGCTGTGCGAGGTAGAGCTTGCTTCATCAATTGGTTCTTTAATCAAGCAACTGTCGTAAGAACACTAGACTTCTTATTTTGTCAAATTAAGGATTTTTTAATGTAGATATTGCTTTTTGTAAAGAGTCACATTTGTGTACCAACAGCAAATTTGGGAAATATGACTGTTTTCAAAATGAGATCCATGCAATCTTTGTACCAACATAAGATTAGGGAAATATGACTTTTTTTCAAAATGAGAACCATACATACTTTGCACTGACTGTTGAGGAGAACAAAAGGAATGGGCGGTAATAAGGATTTGAAAGGTTTAATCTTTACCCTATTACTACTCGTTGAAATATTTTTAAAAACTTTGTTGTTGCAAAGTTGATGACAAATAGCAAAGGCTAGAAATGTTTTATGCAATGACTGTGATGACTTTTTTGGCTTGAAGTAAAAAATATTGAAATTTTACAGAGGGCACTTGTGATCTAGAGTATGGCGTTCACCTCTCAGTCAAAAAGGTCTCGGGATGGAGACCAGACATGAAGAAAAATTCCCTTCTCTGACATTTTTCTCCTTTCACCTCCTTTCCTGTTGTCTAGTTATGTTCTGTCATCTGCTTCCATCTCTACTTTCTGCCCTCCACCTCAGGCCTCCTCATCACTCCTCTCTCTTTTACCCCTGACTTTCTTTTGCTGCTCCTGGCCTCTTCTAAAAATAGCTTGGTGGTCCTAAAATAGATAAGAGTAATCTACGACGCCATCGGGGCAAAATTTGAAATTAGTTCCAACCAAAACTGAAAATACTCTAGTCAATATTATAACATGTAGAGTACCTTCAAAATCGACATTTCGCTGCCTGATGGCAAGAGGCGTTACTAAGTTAAAAAAATGGTCACATTCTTTAAAATCAGTTGCACTTCAGGTTGAAGAACCAGCAGTTGACTACCCCTGAGATCTTGCAGGAGAAAGCGAAGAAGAAGAAGATTGAAATTTTACCATGGTCCATGGGTTAATGTGGCTCAGAATTTTGTTTGGTATTTTTTAATACTCTCTGGTATGGTTTGTGTCTATTCATAAGCATTTTTTGGGGAAAAAAGAATATGCTGCCACTAGTACGTATATGAACTTCGTACTGGGATAGGAAGCTGCGAGCATCAACTCTAATTGGTGGTATGATTCCTTGTAACCATGAACCATGTTGTTTACATATCAGTGATGGAACTTGCCGCCTCCTGCTCTACCTTTTGTGATACAGTGGAATCCTGTTATAACGAGAGGGAGGGGACCGGAGTAAAATGTTCGTTATAGCATGATTCTCGCTATAAGGGATCCAGTAATAAATTCAAGGGAAACTGTAAAGTAGGCCTAATCTATGAATTTGGTGTTCTGTTTATTTCTTTTTGCTATCTCCCCTGATGATGATTTTGTTTCAACATGACCTCTAGGTCTTACTTGATCAAAAATCAAATCAGGTTTCTTTTTCTAGCGCTAGATCTTGCGATTTTGACTGGCAGCTGGGCGTTGGCGATCAGAGAGAAAGGGCTCTGGGCTAACTCGCCCGCTGTGTTTTCCCCCACCCCACCACACCCTGTGGTGCATTCCGTCAGCTTGCACACGTCTCACATTCGCTCCATCCATCACATTGCTGTAACCTCTCCATCCCGGCATCGGAGAAGTGAGAGGCATGATAGGCCTTGATAATCTAAACTAGGTTTACGCTGGCCTATCACGCAATGTGTTCTGCTTGTCTGCGCATGCCACACCCTCCCTACTCAGTCGCTCCGGCCTTCATTGTTGACGCACATAGGCTCTCCCATTTTTTGTTTCGCTAGATCACATACAAGTTTCTCAACTGGCGAGGTTTTACATTATGTATAATTGGCCTATTGGCTGTGCACAGCAGCAGGAATATTCCGCTATAACCGACTCCCGTGTTTGTCTGACTGCGCTATAGCTATATTTTATTTACAAAGATAAAGAAGAGAAATAAACGGGGTTTTAGAATAGTGTCTTTATAACAAACTACTCACTTTTTCCGGACTCGTTATAAGTGGACTCCACTGTATAAGGAAAAGGATATTGATGACGAGCCTAGAATAAAGCTTGTGGAGTGGTTAGGGGAGGGAGGGATGGGGGGGTTTTAGGCATGCATGAAAGACCCACTGCACACCAGCAGGAGGTGCTACATCCCCTCCAATGACTCCAATAATGTGCTTGAACCTCTGTGACCAAATGTACCTGTGTTATGTTTACTTTAGTGAATCGTCTCCTTTTTGTTTCTTTAATCTTCCCACAGAGCCAAATGCTCTGTCTTTGAACTGACTTATTTTTGTAAATTGTGTCTATTCTTATCTAATTTCCTTAATATAATTCATATATTTTGTGTTCCATTAGGTGTCTGTTTTGAGTTTAATTCTGGAATTCTCAATTTTATGCTGTGCTTGTTTTGAACAGAATTGCACTGTGATTATGGTAAAAGTTTTATTTTCTCTCCGTATCTTTTCAGAAGTTCTTTTTCGAAAAATGAAAACTCTGCTGCCGACCAGAGTTCTCAAGTCTTGACATTGCCCTTAGATCTCGTTAAGCTGGAAGGACACTTTAGCAAAAAATGCCGCATTCACAATGATGATCGTAAACGTCGGTCCGAGCTCAGCGGACTTAAGAAACACCTGAGTCAGTGTGACCTGAATGAGATTAAAAACTGTAACATATCCCATGAAAGAGGGGATAAGAGCTTTTCAGGTTTAGAAAATAACAAGGCGACTGAAAGTTTGGTTGGAATAACTCCTAATGGCAATGGAGCTGAATCAAAGGAGCCTTTATCAAAAATAGAAATTGAGAATCTTATATTGAACAGAGCTCGTCTGTATATAGAACAGGTTAATCATCTCCACCATGGGGTTCGTAAGTTTAAAGTTGACAAAAAGCTTTGTGGAGAAGAGGTTGAGACTCATTCTACTGAGTTGTCAGTCAGCGGAAGTCAACCAAAAGATTCCTGTATACCTATGTCGGAATTAGAATCAAAATTTGGACTTGTGAAGCTGACTGACTGTCAGACCACAGGGATGCAGAGTCTTTCTACCCCAAGTGACGCCCACAAAGAAACTGATAGCATTTATGGAGACAGAGATCTGTCTGAGGCAATGGGCACACTGACTTACCTGGACATCCAGTACGTCCACTTATATTCCGAGGGAATCGAGATGACTGTTGCTGACCTTATCTTACTGGCTTATGTCTATCATTTGACGGTAAGAATTTAGTTTGACTCTTTTTTATTATACATGTGTGTTGTCATCTCAGTGGGTTTTATTTTTTAAAAGTTTTTTTTAAACTTCCCATCCCTTGCATCACAAATTACAACGTTTTTTGCTTCTCACCTTTTGCGTCACAAATTAAGATGTTTAAGAGATGGCACCTCTGAAGTAGCTTCTGTCTCCGTTAGGTTGGCTGAAGAGAATCATTGTCTCTTCAAACATTGTGAGTTGTATATGGAGTTAATCTTGTCTTTCCTTCACTGCTTTTCTGTGTATTTTCAATTCCACCAACGTTTCCCCTGTAGCAGTGGATGACGGAAGGTTTCGGCACCTACTTGTTTGAATATTTCATATTCTCCTAACTGAGCTGTAAAAAAATGTTGATAGGAGTGTAAAATTTTCATTGATATTGTGGGGAAACGAGGGGCGTATCTGAATTTAGTGCTAACCTCTGTGACTGTTTTTAGTCAGGACTGTTTATTTTAGTACAGTCAGACTGTTTTTAAAAAATAAATTTTCATTATTCTATGTTCTTTAGTTTAAAAAGCTGTGACACTTTTTTTTTTCAAAATGGTTTGGGATGTCTGAAAGTCTTCCGATATAAACACTGCTGTTGTATGAACAATGATCATGATTTAATATTGATTCATTTTTGCTTTGTGCCTACTCAGTGCTACTCATGTAATTGACAATTCTTTCTATTCTCTTTCAGAAAGCTTTGAAGTTCAACTGCAGCCCCCTTATGTGTCATATTCCCAACATTCTAAGGTGGGCTGACCACATGGTCTCTTTGCGGTCAGTTAGAAGTGCAGGAGAAAGACTCGGTTGGTTCATGGAAAAATTCCAAGATTCGCTCTTGAGAAGGCAGTCCGACTTGTCTCCCGACGGGGTGGATTGCAAAGAATTCTCATTTCTTCCTGCGGTGGACTCCACTGTGGATGAAGATGAAATGGAACTGAGGTTTGTCCTAGTCTTTACGTGTGTTCAAAGTATGTATATGTATGTATAAGTCCAGCATATACTTAGGGAAATTGTTGGGATACGGAAATCATACGAATTTCACTATGTTCTTGTTTGATAGAAATATACATTCGTAATAAGATAAAATTTGGACTTGCAATTTTATCTGATATGTGGGTGATTCGCTGTGTGTTTGTTAGTTCATGCTAGAGTGCATATATAAATATATATAT